CATTTTCAACACAGAAAAAAAAATTAACAAGGAAAAATTACCACGCCTGTTACTGTTAAATAACTGCAAGTGAGACAATTACGAAATATTGTAAATAAACTGATTGAGGAATTTTTATAGTAAATCAGTCATTTTAAACTAAAACCTTCTAACGGATGTAAGATTGTCTAACAAATATTTCATCATCAAAAGAAAAAAAATATTTATAATTACCATCACTGTATTTGAGGTCAAGTGAAAATTAATTGTCCAAGCTTATAGTAAAACAGGCAAGCTCATGGACTTTATGATTTAGCATGAGAATTTTTTAATGCACTACAACAAAGCTGGATAAGTGACACGCATCTCTGTCATTTTTCAAAGTTTACTGGGACAATTTTATGTACAGTGTAGTTCACTTAGTGTACAAAGCATTCTACAGTGGAAAGTAGCCAGTTTAATTTACTTTTTCACAGTTCACTTGGATTTCATTTGCTTCTTGACAAATAGACATATGTTTGATTTAATAACATAGAATATAAATGATTATTTATTACTATTATTACCAATATTGAGAAGTAAAAGTATCTTTATTGATTGGAATTTTAAAATGGACTAACAAAAAGACAGTATGGCTTTGGGAAAACTGATTTAAATCATCTCTAGCATGATAGTGATGTATAAAATGGGCATGTGATCTGTCAATTGCTAGCTTTTAATATTTAGTAATTGATAAAAAAATAACAATGAAAGTACTTCAGGAATTTAACATGTCTTTAATCATTGATAAATACAACCTTTAACACCTTGGACTCATTCATCTCCTTAAAGAACTTTTTTTTTTTTTTTTAAAAATGCTATCAAATCATACTGATGTGTAGGACATGTATAAAAGCTATGGAAATATTAATATAATAATAAATTCCACAATATAATGAAAAAAATAAAATAAATATATATATCGATACAAGTGCATACATGTGCATCAGTAGGCGTTGATAACTTGTGTAATATTTTTATTTTTTTAACGATTCTTAAGACTAACCGCTAGTTAAATTCTCATAAATGTCATTATATAAATCACCAGGAATGCCTTCAAACTCTGCACTCTATCTGGGAGTGTTTATGACGATCTTCTCTGCGTCAACGCCCTTATAAGAACAGAGTTTTTGAATTCTTTTGTTCTTCACACTTCTTTTTTTAATTTACTTTGTTAGTAAGTTCATGTACTTCTGAGGATCCTTACTTGTTAACACTCTGCTGTTTTATGATTGTATTCCATCCAACATCTTCCCAGATAGAAAATGTCTGACAATTTTGTGCTAAACTACCAAGAAATTGTGATTATCATGATTTTCTGTCTGGATATAGTTCAATTTTATTCATTTAATAAACTAAACATTTATATTTCTAACATCAAACTTGGTTTGATTGTAAAGAATATCTTTATAGTAAAATATTGATGGAACTTTGATGTTAGGAAAAATGATGATGATATTTAGTAGTGATCAAAGAAATCTTTTTCAATTTTTCATTTGATGTACTCAGAAGATAGTCCTCACTTTATGAAATCCACTACGAGACTGACTGTAAATTATAAACTTATCCTAACAAAGTATATCATTGAAAAATAACAACTCTGACTTGCTGATGTTGAAAGGATTTCAATACATCATTCGTCCTTTGCTTTACTCATGTTTTATTGCTCTGTGAATATATTTAAGAGTTCAAAATTTCCCAGCTCGGTTTTATTACCCATCTGGTTTGAATAAAGTAATACCTTTCATAGCAGCATCTTTCAATCTACATCAGATTTCCAATAGATATATTTTTGTTGACAAATAGAATAGAAACATTAGATATAAGCTATTTTTTGGATTCTCTAATCAAAAACACAAGTAGTCAACATCCTAGAAGCTCCAGAAAGTATGATTTTAAATATTGGGAGAGAAATTGAATTTATTCGACTATCTTGAAATGCTACATGAAGATAAGAATTGAGTAAAAATTACTCTGCAGTTCAAATCAACTGTTGTGCACTACACAGACAGAATAAAATTAGTCCTTCCACTTCATAAAAAGTCCTAGCTAAAAACTAAACATTCAAGTTTGCAGTATTGATGAAACTCTTCTTCAATCAATGAAATAAGAACTGAGAACACATAGCAAACTCCTTCCACATATCAATAGAAAATCAATAATGAATTATCATCATTGATGAAATGTTGTTAATAATAATTTAATCCCATTCAAGAATTGATGATATAGATACTTAGGGTCACATGTATACCACGGTTTATTTTCTTTGCAATTCTCTTGAGCAAAGTGTACGAAATTGTGTTATTTATACTGTTGTAAAAAAAAGAAGAAAAAAATCTAACGTTCAATAGGTCAAACCACTTCAACTAAAATTGACAATACAGAGATCAACAAAAAGCGATTTGCTGCATGAATGATTCAGTCTACGATCTCGAGTGCTTCCTGTTTGTACTCTAGATTTCCAGCACCTATAGTTTCTTTGAATTCATTTTTATCCCTGATCCTGTTAAGTGAATACGATTCCAAAATCGGTCTTTAATGTAACTGTGTAATCTTTCTATTGTGATTATTTTTGGGACATTTTTTTGAATAACCTTTTGTGCATCTGGGTTTTTTTGTCTTTTTATATAAAAAAAATCATTATATCTACATACATATACTCTGCAACGTATGAATCAATTTATTTATCCATTATTTATAGAATACTCTAACTTTTGAGTGTATATTTATGCTAAAATTTTGCACAAATCATGCCAGTGATGACTTGTGCATAATGATAAACATCAATTTCACTCTAGTGGCATTTAAAGTACTATTATTACAATTTCTCATTGATTACAGTTGATATTACTGATAACATGATCATTTTTATGTATCTAAGTTACATCAAAAACTGTAATCACTGAAGTTAATGATCTAATTTATAATTTACACAATATATCCAATCATTATAACTTCTGAATCATTCTTATGATACTCAAAATGAATGAATGTTTCTCAAAATCTTATGTTGCAGATCAATGTGTTTGAAATGTTTAAAAATAAAGGACGTAATGTGTGAAATGACTATGACTTCTAAATCCAACTATCATTTGTTGATTTATTCTTTTAGGGGAAATACCCGAAAATGTAATTTTCTTTTTCTTGATCTTCTTTCACAAATGTTCTACTGACCCTACATGCTTGACCCCTGATATTTTGAAAAATCTATTGCAATAATAATTGCTAAAAAATATTATCAGCTGTTTTTTTGATATTACATTATTGCTGGAAAATAAATTTTTCATTTGGTATATAGAAAAGGAATGAAAAATTTTAAATATACATTCGATTTAAACAGTATGAATACACAGATATCGGTCATACTGAACTGAAAAATCACCCTCGACTTGCAACAGCTGGCCGCGACTTAACTTCACATAGGAATTTAATTCACCATGAAATGAAATCGACTTGTGATACAATAGCAATAGAGTTACGGGGATTTTTGTGGACAGATTTGTAGAGATCTCTTCACGCACTGCGAAATGCTCCTGCTATACTATCCTATTTTAACTGAAAATATATTTGATCTTAAGAGACAAAAAAATTCGTTATTTCATTCATCATGATGTAACATTTTAACTGAAAATGACCTATTTTATTAGTAGTAATCCAGTAATACAACGAGAGTTAAAATTAATGGATATTATTTCATAGTGATTCTTACTAAATCTTTTTTGAAAAGATATCAGCTTGGATGAGCCAGGTTCTTGGTTTACCAAAGCTGATATAGTCCTTTTTACAAAAACATTTCCAGTGTACACCTGCGACTTAAAATTATACCTAAACTTGGTCAGCTATTTGGAACAGCCGTGAGTCAGTTGTTCGTATAAACGTTATTATTATTGAGTATTTAAAAACAATATTCAATGACTAACAAAATTATATCAATGGTCATTTTGATTGTAAATATATTGATGTCATTGATATATTATTTCTCTAATATCTATTTATTTTTTTACTGGTCATACATAACTTGAGAATAATAATAATAAATATTACAAATGGAGTTTGTAAACGAAATAAATTTGAAACACAAGTTATATTAAATACTATTTCTTGTTATTCAAAATGTAAAACTATTCCAGTTGCTACATATGAATCGCCAAAGTTGTAAGATTATTTTAAATAATTCATCAAAATTTACAGTTTGGTGTTTTGTTATTTTATAATAATAAAATTATATTATCAAATGTTTATTTATTATAAATAAATCTCAGGTGAATACAAGTAGACCCAAAAGTAGCCCAACATTAATCAACTAAAGGTAATATGGCCATTTTGGTCCAAGTCTGGGACAGAGAAACCTATTCTTGATAGATCAACATGATAAACACTTTTTAACACACTTTGAAATGTGAGAACGTTAAGATTTACAGTGCAAGAATGTTTACTAATGGAACCGGTAAAAATTCTGAAGGATTATTCTAAGGTAATGTCGCGCATGTTGATTATCTATCTATCATATAATTAAAGTGTATATAAAGTGAAATAAATAATTATTAATAACCGCAACTTTTATAAAAACAAGTAAATTTGATGTTGACATTTATTTGATATATTACAAAGTTAAACAACTGAACAATTATACTATTTCTAACTACTATATAAACATAGATACATTTTTTTTGCAAGTTTTAGCCAACTTAGATGGGTCATATACTCAATCAATGACAGGTTTATAGTTTTTTTTTAAATTTTTTATTTTTATTTATTCTAAACTAAACATTCATAGCAGAAGAATATGCCTGCTATGATCACAAATCTACTAAAAACAGATTAAAAATTTCACTAAAATGAGATACTGGTCGGGAATGAAAGAATTATATTACTGGAATATGATATTAAAATTGCCTATATTCTATGCCTCTGAAACCGTAAAAATTTAAAAACTTCATATCAAGCTTAATCTAGGATTATCAATAAATAAACAGAGTATATATGTATATTTCATCATTTAATTTATTTTAAATTAAAACTTTTTTACAATTATATTTTACATTCATTTTTACATGTTCACAGTATAGGAATAGGACGCTTATCAAAACATTCTAGCGTCAATATACTTTTACTTCTTCCATTTGGCTATAAATTTTCCACTTCCAGTATTTCATTGTTAAAAACCATTTTATACATTCTACGATATATGCTTTTAATAATACTCTGTTATAGATACCCTTGTTTAAATGTAGACTTACACACAGATCGCACGTATTTGTAGAATCGCAAGAAACATTGGAAAAAAAGCATTTTCCCATACGCCGCTGATATACTATTTCATTACTATCTAAGTTTTCTTTTAGTAAAATATCAAATTTTGACTCATACCAGGTGCCAACGATAACATGAACATGACGAGAACTCCAATTTAATTTGAGTTTATAACAAACAGTCTTCTTTTAATCATCTCTTTGGTGATAAATCTAAATTATCAAAACATCAAACATCAAACATCACCATTGCATTGATCAACAAATGGTTTAGTTAAATTTCAATTAATTTATGATGCTTTAATAGGAGCATTTTTTGCTAATAGATTGTTCGTTCATGAATTGTACTCTAGATGAGACTCGTCAATGTTATCAAGGCCACCTGGTAGGAATAAAAATTTTACAATCGAGTAAATTTATAAAAGTATTAATTGTTCAGCTTTCGAATGAATGAATTTCGCATTTAAAATAAAATAAAAACAAATGATATCTATAAGTAAAAATCACATTATGGTCTTATTTCTCTCTCTCTTTCCCATTTACTTCTCTATCTCGTTTTTTCATATTAATTTATTATTTATCGGAAATCAAGAGTAAACTTTGCAGATTATCTTCTATTTATCCATTTTAATACTTTGACTACCTAGATAAATTTATCTGATTATTCGCTAAAATTATACACAATCATTGACTTCAACGAGTATTTGTCATACGATACTTCTACCCTTCATTTAAAATATGCAACAAATATATGTACATACATCCATACATATTTGTTGCATAATAATTTGTCAATATATCGTTCAAAATTGTATACATGACATAATTCTCGAAGGATACGAAATTTATATGTGTCACATCTAACACTATAGTATACTCATATAAGTTCAACCACTTGATGTAACGTATAAATATTTTGTATTCCATTTTTTTACATATGACAGACTGATTTCATTGTATAAGTTCACTAGGACTTCCAGAAATCACTGATCCCGAAATGTGATAGTATCTCAAACGACTAAAATAGAATTTCTTGAATAAGCAATTCGAGAGTCATCATCGAATGAAAAATTTTCAAATCGTTGACCTACGATTGCCGAAAAATTCAATTTTATTTATACGTTATATTTTTTTATTTTCTAATCAATAATTAATTGATCATACATAGTACGACTGTTCATTTTATTCCTAATATTTTATTATGAATATTTGTTTCCTTTTTTAATGTTGGTATCAAAAAGCTGCTTAATTATTCATTTTGATGATACAAAATTTTCTAGAGTATTAATGAATAAAGATTAACAGTCGTACTATTGATAAAATCTTAAATTGCACGATAATGATCGATAAGAAGGGCTTTTTTTCTATCGTTTATCCCTCACATAAATATTTGTACATATACCAAAACTGGTTTCTTTTTAGTTTGTTGGACATATGACCCTAAATTATGTCACTTCATGAGAGGAAGGTAGCGTAAGAAATGTGAGCCGCATTGTAATAAATTCACTCAAATACATTGATATACATAAATGTCATTAAATCTTCGACTTTTTCAGTTCTACTTTTATAAGTTAGTGAAATAAGTTGAGCGAGAAACGAATGCTAACGAAACGTATTGAATCGTAAACCATTTTCAATTCTATTATTTACAATAAACATACCGACTTAATGAAGATATTAGTTGACTGAATTTGTACTTGGAACCGTTGCCATGAAATATTTATCACGTAACGATATTCTTTACATATTTACAAGAAATTCCGAAATTCTTTACAAGTTGTCACCCTGATAATCATGTACATACATAAAATATACCAGACAATACTGCATAAAAATTAAAAAAAAAAAAACAAAAAAAAAGAAACGTAAATTGGAGCTTTTGAGTAATAAACAAAAAAAAATTAGGGGAATTAAAGAAATTATTAATGGGGAAATATTACTATTCTATATACTTATAATGTTTTTGGATGGAATATATGCACATATAAACCACAAAATTAGCGCCAAAGAATAAAAACTTATTCCAGTATGGTGGATTACGTCCTGAGCTTCCGGTGTTGTTGTTAATTACTAAGTCTTATTCATGTGTATTCAGATCGCCAACCAGTCTAGAACAAAAGACCATATCACATATGTTACAAGGATTCAATTATAAACAACACAAATAGGATCAACAAAATTTATCATCTTAATATATTAGTAGAATGAACCACATTTTTTGAAGATGGTATTAGTAAAGAAGCAACTTTAAAAAAAAAAATGATTCCAAGATGATTGACATTACATTTTCTTTCATATTTTTTGAGTTCTATAGTTTGAAGGTGGTTTAAAATCAACTAATGCCATGGGACTATCAAGGTATCCACCTCAATGACTAATTAACTAAGAGGAATCTCAGGTGAAATATTTCACAATGCATTCAAACAATTACTCAGAAGGGAGAACTGGAATTTTTTGAATAACTGATGTGCAAGTTAAAATAAAGGGATTTTGTCAGTTCAGTTGAATAAATAAGTTACAGAGTTTTAATGTTAGTGATGAACATATTTATAATTAGTTTATTTTAACTAAATATTTTTGATTGTCGTTTTTTTTATTATTGTATCATTGTAATTGTTTGAATTTTTTTAAAAGTGTTTCGAATTAGTCTACTTTGATCTCTCTTATATAGTGTCCCAGGCATACCTACTAAAAATTATCGCACAGGATCAGTACATATCACCAGAGAAATTAATTAGTTGCAGATTCCATTGGCATGAAAAAGTGAAGAGTCTAAATAATAAAAACAATACCTCTAATAGATATCACTTTTGACAAAAACAATAACTGGCAGTGATTCAACTAATCAAATATTTGTTTTTTTTTTGCAAATAATTTGTACTGACTACTACTAATTGGCCAAATAGGCATAATAAAAATAGAATCTTGCCAACAAATAAAGCAAGACTTTGTGAAGCGTGACAATTTTTTATACCCAGTTCTTGCTTATGAACAATTATAATTACAATTATAACATAATTCAGAGTTAGGAAGTAAGTCAATTGTAGACGCAATCTAAAAGGCTGCATCGGGAGTAGTCTTGTCAGTAGAGAAAAAAAAATTGATTGATGGATGGTTAGTACGTGTAAGGAAGACTGTAAAGACCTCAAAAAAATATATAGTGAAATAAAATAGTAGTAAATATTTATTATGTTTATTCCTTATTTGGATAAAATACTATTTAAACATTATTACATAAAATTACTTTGAAATATTAATAATTTATTATTTTATGATTATTATTTAATCATTTTTAATCTTTATTTCTACTTTATCAAAACAGTCGTGATATATTTAATATTTTTTTGGTCACATTTTTAAATTAATTGAATTTAATTAAGCTGTAATCAGTTCTAGACAAAAGATATCATGATAATCTATTGGTAGATTATTGAACAATTATTTCTTAACAAATCAAAGGTAAAAAATAAATAAATAATCATTAAATTAAAGTAGAAAATTACTATTATGTCATTAAATCGATAATTTAACCTGATAATATAATTGTCAATCACTTATAATAATATTAACTTACAAAAAAATTGTCTTTGAAATTTCTTGAATGTAAAAATATTTAAGAAAAAGTAATTTTTATAAAAAACATGACTCCAAATTCTACTGTCAAATATTCTTAAACTGACAGAATGTTTGTAAAAATATTCAGTAAAATCCCTCTAATGACATACCATTGCGTTCGTCGTGGCAGCTAACTGTAGACCCTGAAGACTTGTCATGTGATGAGAATGTGAGTGAGGGTGAGAATGAGGATGAATTGGAGGAGGTGCTGGTGGTGCAAATCCTTGATGAAGACCTCCAGCCATACCGACACCAGAGTGATACATGTAGTGTTGAACAGCCGGATGCATAGTGTGATGGTGTTGTGACGTTGCTGCTTTAATTAATTAAACATTCTTATTAGTTTGATATTTCAAATATGACATATTTATTATGAAAATAAAATTCAAAACTTTACCCATTGGAGAGCCAAATCCTGAATGAAATGGTTTATTATCGAGATCAAGGTGTCCACTTGCTTTGATCATATCCCCCATGACACCACTTAGACCTAGACAACCTCCAGCTTTTTTCTTTTTACTTTTCGATGAAAGTTTTCTATTACGTGTTTGAATACCTTCTTTCTTCATCGTCAAAGGTCGATTAACCTGTAACATACATGAAAATAAAGTTTAATTATGAGTTATTAAGCTGTTATTTCAATACAAAATTATAAACATATATTTAAAGCTAACTTTTTATTCTAATTTATTGTTCAAAGGAATTAAAATGTTTATTTAAAAGAATTAAATGTTTGGTTTTTATTTTTAAGATCTTCTACCTCAAACAGAAGAATAGAACTCTTATAGAATCCTTTTGTGGTCCATGTGTCTGTTCATTAAAACTATTACTCTGATCATCAAAACCTACACTGAAAAATCAACTTCAGCAGAATTGCTAAATGACTGCATAGAGGACAAGAACGGTGTTATAACTTCTGTTATGTTGCTTTGAATGTTGGGTAATAAAGATCTATTACTCAAGAGCATTATGTATTAGAAATAGTCTAGTCTTAAAATATTAATAAGGATTCTTTTTTTTTGTTTTTAAGTACTTAATTAAAATCTAATTTTTCAGTCCAACTGAAACTATTTCTTCAGTGTAAAGGAACTGATGAAGTTGATAGTAGTGCTGCCTATCCAAAATGATGGTCTGCCCAAGGAATATATGGCCCAAGGTTATTAAGTACCCCCAATGTTTGAAGTCATAATTATTGGTGTGCATGAAATGAACTTGTTCTTGTAAGGTTCTTATAGAATATTTCTACCCAAGTAACACATTAAAAATATCCTTCTGACTACTTTAAAATCACTTTATCTTAAATGTCTCCAAAAAAAAGTATCTTTAATCTGTCAAAAGAAAAATTGTTTTTTAATTGTCTTGCTTGGGTAGTTAAGTCAGAACTTTAGAAATTTAGCATGAAAGAAAAGCCTCAGTAAAATATTAATGAATTCATGTTTATGAGAATATTTTTAATGATATCAGCCCACTTCAGATTTTTTTTTTGTTTTATCAATACTTGTTTTCATAAAAAATGAATCTTAAGTATTACTTTACATCAGTTATCATCGTACTTGATGAAAGGTTATTGATTATACTTTTTTATTTTAATTTTGGACTAATAAATTATAAGGATTACTGAAATCACCATTTATCAGTGCAACTCAGCAAGAGATCACAGTTCATAAATCGTCTAACTTAGCTTTTCTTATAATTTAACAAGCATAAAAGAGTTTGAGTATTACAAGATTTTTTCTGGTTTATCAGACTTTTTTTTCAATTGAGGAAGTACATAATTTCTTCAATTAAGTAAAGTCTGTCTTCAAACATCTTGCGTGTCATTGACTTATTGATTATTTAAATGATTTATTCATACACGTAAATTTAAAAGCACAGAAAAACATTATGTAATGTATCTGATTAGCATAGATAATATGTCAAGACTATTGAAACATAATCTCGATTTTATATTAGAGATAAAAACTCAAATTGTTCTACAATAAATTAAAAAAAAATCAATTATTGAAAATTAGTTACTAAATTTATTAAATTATTATTAACGAGAGAAAAAATATATAAAATAACTGGCAAAATAAATATATAAGCATGCATCTGCACATCATCATACATTCCATTAGAAATAAAAGAAAGACAGTAGTAAGGTGGGAGCAAGTCCAATGACAGGACTTTGTAGTCGCCGCGACGTGACGCAACTGCTAAGTTAAAGAAAAGATTCCCGGTATTATAAAGAGAAGGACCGACGAAGACAAGTGGATGCGTATGTGCTTGTCTTTATTCTATCTTTTTTTACTCTTTTTTGTTTCTCTCTTTTCTACTTGCTTTTTACTATTGTAACCTTTATAATATTTCTCTTTCTTTTCTTTTACACTTCTTATGCACTTTTTGTACATTTATTTTGCTGCTCTTCTTACTCTTTTCACTATCCCTTATCGTTGCACTCTTCTTCCAGACGGTCAATGGCTTTTTTTCAGAATTATGCCGTTGCCCGAATTTGCCATATTAACGGTGCAATATATTTGATCTCAAAGCTTCAAACTCTTTGTTTTTTCTCGCTTTTAAATTTAAAATAGAAAATATTTATGCTGGTATATTGTTTTTTTTTTTATAGTGCAGATGACTATATATATATTTGATATTGTCAACTGCTGTTGAATCCTTTCACGAAAATTTTTCAATTGGATTTTAACCAATTTGAATACAATGAGCAGCTTTAATGGTAAAATGAATAAACTCAAGACTGCGTGTATACAACCGTGAAAAGTGTAAATAAAAGAAACAAAAAAATTGAAACTAAAAAAAAAATGATGTCAAAAAAATAGAACAATATTAAAGATCTATCATGCATATATTATTTATGATTCAAATATTTGTGACAAATGACAAGTTGAGAAAAAAATTTACTCTAAAATTAAATAACTAGTTATTTGACAAAATTCGAATTTTTTACCAACATTTTTTTTTTGTCATACCAAATAATTTGTTAGTCCAAAAGTAAATTTCTTTTTTTCTTTCGAATGAAATTCCAAAAAAATAAGCAAAAAAGAAACATGTTTTTTTTTTATTGTATATATTCGCACATGCGCATAATCAATTCCTTTCTTCTCTAAACGATAAAAAAATTTTGCTTTCAGCTTGGGAAGTAATTCTACACGTAGAATGAAATATCTAACATTTCTTCTATAATGTGTAATATACTATTTATATCGTTTGTAATAATATCTGATATTCACATCTGATTGATGGATAATAAATGTAGAAAATAATACTTATGAAGATTTAGTTTGAAAGAAAAGGTATTTAAAATACAATTAAGGACTTAATAAATTGAATTATAATGAGTGTAATAATAACTTTAACATTAATCGTATCTACAAATGACTTTAAACAAATACTATTGATTTGTAATTTGAAAAATATTATGTTTAAAAACTTGACATTCCTCTGTTGTATAATTTTTTGCATCAATATAATTTTTAGCACCGTTTTTATGTGAAATTTTAGCACATGGATAACATTTTTCCTGATCTCATGCTAGTGTTGAACAAGATTCATAAACATAAATTGCTTTAAGGCTATAGAATGCCTGGTAGGAATAAAAATTGGCAATGTGGCCAACTTTAATCGAATGTTGGCTAAGACTGGACCAGCCTTTGTTACCATCAAGGATATTTTCTGCGTCTCTGGAACATTGTTCTGATTATAGCGTAATTAACTGGATCCAAATTGGATGGAAACTAAATTTAGAATAAAAGGGGTTCAAATGATTTCATCAGAAGATGCTCCAATATTTTCTTGAGTAATCAGTGATATATTTAAATCGATTATTATGATTTGAATGATTTTTTGTCAATTTAATTGTCCTATTATATTTAACAAATAATTAACCCGTCATTTTCTTTAATCATTGAACTATTATTTTGCCTTAATTTATAATCTCTTATATTCATTAATAACATTGAGTTTATATATTTGTAGAAAATCTAAAAGTCACATTAGTAGCAAAACTGTTATCCGACGTGCACTACAATATGATCATAGACACTTGATGCACAATAATGAGTGAAAGTTTTGAATAGAGAATATTAAGATTAGACAATTTGTATTCTAGTCATATTGCCCATAAAATTAAGATAATTAATAACAGTAAATACTTTGTACAAATTTAATATTAAAATAATGATAGATATAATTGCCTCTATTAAGCCATCAATAAATCAATCTTTGATATAGATCAAGAGAATTTTAGCCAACACTATGATTTTTGGACAATAATTAAATTTTTCTTCAACACAATAATGATATTAATATGTTTATACAAAGGTGCAAGACCTTTTGGATGTTAATTAAAAAATTTAGTAGAAGTATTGTGAAGCAAAGTACAATTTAAGTTTTTTATGATATAAATTCACTTTACAATTTTTACAATCCGGGCTTTTCATTATTCAATTGCCGTGCAGAATAGTAGGGTCAATGCACCAGAGGATGAACAGTCATCAGGAAATGACTGATCAAGAAACTAGCCATATCGTTCCTTCACTAATGTATTCGATTTTCTTTCAAAATTTTATTGCTAGTATTCTGAAGATAGAGAATTTAAATTACCTTCTCCATATTCTATCTATCTCTCTAGGAATAAAAGTGATAATCACTGAAAATCATAATAGAATAATGAATATTTTGCAATGATGTTAACTGCTTCATCATCAAAGAGTATATTTTTTCATAAAATACTTCTGTCTTATGAATAAACCAGTTAATAATTATTATTGATTATTAATTTGAATCATTATTAATAATTATTAATTAATTAAGTACTTTTAATTGTTGATCCATCAGCACATTAGCTTTTTTTTTGCCACAGATTAAGAAATGTTTTTCAAAATTTCAGTCATTATTTCCAGGTAATATCTGTTAGAAGAAGTAACAAAAGCTTTCCTATCACTGCATTGTATATAATTGATTTAGAAATATTCAGATTAATTGAAATCAGATGAAGATAAAGTCTACCGGAATTTAGTTGCCTCAACACTAAACTTGATGTCTGACTAGAATGTATGAAGGAAGAATAAGTCTTGAATAAAAATCCAAAGTGACAGTACATTTTAATAATGACGAATAAGTTTAGCAAGTTGTGGAAGTTGTTTCATCAACATGAAACGATATATCAAAACCCCATAAAAATGTTGATCTACAATTCAAACCTTTGGCAATGTATTTTATATATTATTTATCATTTACATACCATTATCATGACTTAACATGACAGGGAAATTAAAGTTGAGATTCAAGTAGATTCTAAGAATTTTTATAAATTAAACTCCTTAAGCAAAATACATGTATTTAAGAATATATATATATAGATACTCTAGTATGTTGGAACAAAGATTGGTTCATTCCCGGTCCGGCATTAGGCCAATGTATTCAACCTCGATTCAACGTTGGGCCAGGAATGAGCCAATCTTTGTTCTTACAAGGATATATATATATTGAAAACTGGTAACATCCCATGAACATAAGTCGACAAGCACGAGGTCTTTAAATATAAACAGAAGTAGCATGGGAGATTAATGATAACTGTTGGCTGGTGTTCACATGATGATCTCTAGAGTACTGAATGTCCTAAAATTATGTTTGTTATCGGATGATCAAAGTTGTATGTGCGGATATGTAAATGATAAATGTCAAATAAGACAGAATGTAATATTACCGAGTTATATGAGTACGGTTGCTATTTTTATTCAAAATAACCCCAACATATTTTACCATTGTTTTTTTTTTTGCATATTTTCTAGTTACCAAGGATGTTATTAATTACTCTATCAATGTTAATAGAAATCCTGGTACCTAAGAATTCTAATGGTGCACATGATGGTGATTAAGAGAAAGGAAACTTTTAAATAATTCCTCCACAATGGAATCTAAAATGATTTAATTATAATTTATACATATATGTATAACAAGAGGAATTCGTCTATTTCAGAAATTTCAATTCGATAATAAACTGACCAGTTTAAAAAAAAATAGCCTTTCTTCTGCTTTAACAAGTGGTATAGTCTTCTCTTAATATGTATTTTCTTCTTTTTTTTTTTTTTTTTTTATTTCAAACTTGAAACCATCGTGCTTCGGACAATTTATTCTTCGTCGGCGCGTCGCCGTGTCGCGAGTATTTAGTAATGGAGACCCTCTCTCGCTTAATTAATGATTACTGGGAAACATGTCTGGGTTGGCCTTTACACACGATCTTCATACTTTTGGGTTTTTTTTTCGTTATTTTATTACCTGGTATTTAATTGTCTCATAAAGAATTTTTGCTTAAATTTAACAAATACAGCAGAAAATTGACAATTCAAATCTATTTACAGCTTATGATATAGTTTTGTGACCAGTGATGATCAGATAGTAAACATTATTGCACACTGTAAGGTAAATCTGCACTTTAAACCCTAGATTCTCAAGCTGGATCCAAGTTATACTTATGAGAAGTATTTAATGTTTATCACTTGTATACAAAAAATGATCATTTGTAAAAAAAATGAAGCTTTTTATTCAAGATGAACGAAATAGGCAGGGAGAAATAATGTTCAAGACTGTAATTTGGCAATTGAGAGATTATTGTGTAGCACAGTACTGAGTCATGTTTTCTTTTATCCGTGTAAGGAACAAGAAGAAGTTGACGTAGTGAAACTTGCTAAATTTTTAATCCTATTAAGTGTAGAAAATATTGAAGAGCTTTTGAATTAATATCAAATTTTTATATTTAAAATATTTAGTAAGAATCCCATTTTTAATTTGACAATGGGTTATTTTCTAACTATAGATCTGTAAATGACTGTAAAAAGTCACAAATTAAACTAAAAAAATGTCACTTTTCCTTTACAAAGATTACAATAATTCGTTTACCATTCAGGATAGATAAAATTAAACTCACTATTATCAGAAATCTTACACTATGATTCCAAAATTTTCAGAGTGTGCTAAAAAAACTCATATAAAATGTGTACAATATTAAATGTTCATAAACAAATTATAGAATTTAATAACACGCCTTAAAGTGAGTAAAAAGTGACTACAAAATACAATAATTTGTAGATAAAATTCTAATATTAAACACACTTCATGTGTATTATTTTAATTCACATGAATTTACAGTGCATGCTTCTTTGCAAATTATTTTCTGCTGTGTAACCAAATTGTGAAATTTAATTTACTTCAGAGGATATAAAAAGTGTCTTTAAATGACTCTAGATCGTTTGTGTAAATTTATTAATAAGTACACTGGTGTTATTGTAACGGATATTAAAAATATGGGCAATACAGTGATGTCATATCTTTTCAAATAAAGAAAAATTATTTTGTATAACTAAATGTTTGGATTGACTGTTAAAAATAATGAAAGATTTCTGAATAAAATTTATTCAGAGATTGAATAAAAAATTATTTTGTGGACGAAAATAAATAAGATATTTTCTTCTTAATATTCATAAGATTACTGTATCATTGTGTTTACAATTTTATAATCTTCTGAAAAAAAGTAATCACTGTGTCGAACAACTTCCGGTTATATTGAGTAGGGAAGAAAACGCGCCCCTTTTGGCATACCAAGCAAGCGTAATAGATCGGTACCGCCCAGCCGTAGTTAACCATGTGTTACCAAGATACAAAGTTGACGTGATTCTCATTCTCATAACACAAAAAGCTCAGTCATTACACAAATAAAACACGCACCTACGAAATGAAATGTTATACATACACCAATATATACTCAAAATAAAGAACAACGGTAGGTAAAAATGTCTCTTCTTTATAAAGTATCAGATTTCTATTGTCAACAGGAAATCCAGCTACTTATATCATTGCTTTCATTTCAAAAATGAAGACCTCATCCAACTTGTTGCATTTAGTGTGTGCTCCAAAATCAATCATCATGTCCTATTTCTATTTCATATCATTCCTTTCCTTGCTTCATATTCAAAATAATCATATCCTCTCTATCATCAACTTCTAATTTATAACTAAAAAATAATATGCAATCGAATATTCATATCCAACAAAGTGTATTTAAAATAACTTGGAGCAGAACCTGATCATAAGACCTATCATCTTATCCACACCTTTCTTCAACCATGTACCATCAATACATCAACTTTAGCTGCAAGCTTCATTGCTTCACTTGCACCAAACTATCAGTGTATACAGCTAAAAACAATTTTACTCTTTGTCTTCACCGGAAAACAATTGTAGTACTAGTCTTACTTTGTACCTAACTCATCATGACACTTTACACATCACTGTAACAATTCACTTCTACAAAAGTTTCAATTATTTAAATGAATTTAAAAAAAAACCTGAGTATTTTTTTTGTTAATGAATCTGATATTATTATTATTATTATAATCCATTCACTGATTTCTTCAAGATATTGCACTCATTTTGATGGAACTTGAAGTAAGTATTTTTCATCTAATGATAATCAAAACCTATAAAACACTGAGGTTTACCATTCTCATGTTGTATTGCTATTATATTAAACATAAATCATCAATAAATTTCCAGAGTAATCTTTCTTGAGATTTAAATAACGAATGGTAACCATTCTACCTTTTTTCTCTAAATATAGTTCTTGTGAATTAAAAAAAAAAAGATTTGATAGTTACGTTTAATTAAAGCTTCTAACAATATAGAGTGACTCAATTGATTGAAATTGAGCTTATTAGTCGTTCAACACAAATAAAGCTTTCATAGCTATCAGTTATAATTAGCGATTATTTTAGCATTGATACAGAGATATTACCAGCGAGTAGATGAATGTACTGAAGGAAAAGCTAAATATGATCATGACGGGTAATCTCACTCTTGTTTATTGGCCTAACACCTAAAAGCTATCTTCAATATGTACAGAAGACACATAGTATTTTATATTATCGTGATTTTCACTCGAGATATGTACAATTAAAAAATAAAAAGAGTATAATAACTGTTGGAATAAAATATCTTGATAAAAAAAAAATTGGGTCTAAGTAATAAAAATTTTTATATTTTATCACTTTAATTAACATAAATAAAAATGGTGAGATTATTTAAGGACTGTTTTGAATGATAGATTTGTCAAAATAATATAAAAAGGTTACGAAAATAATTAAAGTAAAACGTCTGAATGTAAGTTGGTTGATATATCAGTATTTTTTATAGCTCTCGATGAGGTTGCGTGGACCTCACTTCCGGCACTTCCTGTGTCACACGCCGTTAAGCACGATTCACCCTGCTTTCGCTATATCGTCAGCAGATTTCTTACGTCCGGGACTCATATTGCCGACGCGTTAATTGTTGATAATACAACAAAGAAACTCTCAAGAGTAGTAGTCTTCTCTTTTTTCGATCAACTCTTGGTGTTTTATAGTGTCTTTCTTTGTACTTTACTGAAGCAATCAGTGTCGAACAAAGCGATTTTATCTTCAACTATATACATAGATTTTTTGTTTGTTTTAGGTTAGTAACCAGCTATTAATTGTCAAGTAGGGTGAAGTACTCACGTTGTGAAGTTTGTAGTAGAGACCGCACGCATTGCACACTGGTTCACCGGCCTGATTCCTTCGCCAAAGAGTTGTCGTTGCAGTTTTACAGTTTGCACAACTCGTACCAGCTCTTCTTGCAGCACTTTGTAACGACTGAAATCAAAAGTTACATCTTTTAGTTTTTATGTTTCAACTTTAGGTTGATGAAATTTTGAAAAAACTTCATGTCAACATATCCTTCTGAAAGTAATAATTTAAATTGATTTTCAAGTACGTTTATTCATCTTGGATAATGTGGTTATTTTTTAATTTTTATTTAACATTATAATAAAATTATTGTGTTCTGTAAATGTCATAATGTTTAATGTGTGTTAAATAGTGTAAGAGAAGTGCATTGAATGTTAAACTTTGTAAAATATTTTGTAGTCATTTTTTTCTTAACTTAAACATTAAAAATATAGGACTGGTGTTGTATACAATATTTACATGAACAAATTTCAGAGGGCTATCCTGCAATTTAAAGTTAGCTTGGGACATCTTCAAATAATAAAAAAATTACCCAACACTTGGATAAAATTCATTCTGTCAAGACTAAGTATACTCTTTACACTGTTCACAGGATAAAAATTGCTCTCTTTGGAGTATATTTTACTCCATCTAATATGTAATTTTTTCGCTATTCGAAGACGTACCAGGCTTACTCCGAATTACAGGGTAATTTGTACTTTAAAATACTCACGATGTATAAGATGGGAATTAAATGATTTAAATAATCAGTCGTATATTTTTGTTTTTCACAAAGAAAGTTAAATTATAATAATAATTATTCGGCAGAAAAGAGAAATTTTTATTGCACAATTGTTAACATTACTATGCAATGTTTAGCAGGAAATTATAATTAAACTTTTTTAAAATAACTAAACATTTAAAGATGTTTTACAACAATCTTTTTCTTTTTTATTAAAACAAAGACATGTCTGAAATTATCTTGGATAAAACATGAAGTTATTAACTGCATTATTTGTTTCTAATAAATATCACCAATCTTTTTTTTTAAACTCCATTATAACAATTTTATTATATTTTTTAACTCATGTACTCGAAAATAATTTTTCTTGGTACTCATTTTTATATCTTGAACTTTTTAAACCGAAATATTTATGTTTTCGTCATTTCTCTTGGGTTATGAGTTTTACAAAAATTTTTTTTATATATAATTATTATATATAATCATGTAAAATATACAATAATAATAATTAATAATTAAAAATATATAAAAAAAAATTATAAATGAATTGTTGATTAACAATCATTTCTGTTTAGTAAAATTATTGGGTAGTTATTGAATAATTCTATACACTTTAATACCATCAAAACATTAAAAATCTATCTCATTTTAATTTCCAGATGGAAAAAAAAAATAAATAATAATAATAACAGTCAGGAAAAGGAGACCTGATACAATCAGTTGAGCTTAAATAAAAAAGATAAATCGATGTATCAGAAATCCGGTGCCTTGCAGTCTCTAACTTAATCTTTCTATAGACTGTAGGTAAAAAAGATTAATAAGATGAAGGGCATACCGTTTCTACGACCATGTTTCAATGTTCGTGAATCGAAAAATCATTCTGACACCTGTACTTTCAATCTTGAGTGGCAAACACTTAGCTAAAAAGGTTTATTATCCCTCTTGAAGCAACTATAGCTTATTTACCTTTTTCCTACACACAGACACACGCAGATATACATAAGCTATTCGAAAATCAGAAAAAAAGACGAGGAGAGCAACGAATCGGGCGCGTGCATACCTGACTACTTTTTCTTCTGACAGTGATGAGACGAAGAAGCAACCACGCAAATCCCTTGAACCATTTAACCCCCAAGATGACATGCTACATTTTGTTACGACCTAAAACACATTCCAATGATCGAACAACTACGATATTACAATAACCAAAAGAGAAGAAAGGAATGAACAGAGACATTGTTAACTATCTAAAGAGAATAGAAAGTATTTTTACATAATGACTTTAAAAAATATCTACTCAATTTTTTTAAAATACTCCAAACTTCTTTTTTTTTTTTTTTTTAAACAAATAATATTTATTTATCATAAAAATGGAGTCAAATTTTTTAACTTTCCTTTCATCATTGTCAAGTACAAAAAAAAAAAAAGGGAATATGAAGACTATAGACTGCTACCAGAGTACAAACATTATTTTGTATAATCATGCTCTATCACTAGAATCTTATCAGAGCTTGGGAACGGCACATAGTAAAGTGCCTGTAAGTAAAAAGGGTCTAGAGCAGACTAAAGGTCGAAGGCTACGTGAGTATTAAAAAAAAAAAAAGAGAATAAAGAGAGGGGTAAAATGTCCGAATCAATACATATAAGGCACACTATTTCTCGTCAATATCCAGTCGAGTTATCTACTGTCTAATCTCCAACACCCTCCAAAAATCATTAGTCCCTGAACTCCCTAAATTTCATAACAAATGGTTATTACATATTGACTAAAAATATTTAAACCTCTAAAGATGTTTACATTATTAAAATATTCCATTGATTAATCATTCAATGAATTCTCTTGATATTTATAAAACATTTAACCAAGTGAAATAATTTAGTGAACTACTTTTTAAAATGACAATCATTTGGATTCAAAGGATAGATAATATTACTACAATTCATGGACAAGTGAAAATTTACTATGTAAATTAATCGATCTTCACTATCACGATCATGTGGATGCAAACAGCACGAGAATCATAATCGCTTCTGTATACGTCGCCTAATACGTACATATAAAGTAATAAAACCGGTTAGACACGAGGGTGGCGACCTCCCATACATACCAGAATATAATATATGACAACTATGACACGCATCATCTTAGCAGTATCTGTAATTTGTTTCTTTTCAATTATAGTGATCTTTTTCTTATTATACATGTATTAATGTATTAAATTTGTCTTATTTATTTGCATTAAGAAATAAAATTAAATAATCCTAACTATAATACTCATAACGAATTACTTGATAAATACATTAACAATATACAATATAGAATACCTGTATTTAATTTTGTTTTAATATTATAACATTTAGAAAAAAAAAAGAAGAAAAAAAAAACAACTCACTCCTAACCGGAACTCTATTATAATTAATTCATTATGTCATTGATCGTGACTGAAATAGCTTTGATAATTAGTCATATATGCTAACAATGATAGAATATAATTTAACAAATATAGAATTGTAATGGTTTTGAAAAAAATAAATTTAAAATTGTGAGATATTAAGTAGTGAACTTATACAGAGATTCATGTACCCTATACAAAAGTATATTGAAGAATTTTTTCACCTCAGCTTCATATTATGGTAAGTTAAATGAGTCCTTACCAATAGAACTGTACGTAGTGATAGGTATCTCTACATATATCCTTGACCAAATCGTGACTAGAAGCTCTCAGTTAAAATGTATTCAAGTAGTAGGTAGATAAATGTATTATTGCGAATATGTTGAACAACATTGTTTTTATTTAAATAAAAATAAAAAACCAACTTAATACGAAAATAACTGTTTATCTGTGCATTTAATTATTTAATTCAAATTAATTCATTAATTATTTTTAATTTAAAAAAAAAAGAAAAAAAAGAAAATATGAGTAAAATGTTAAACAAATTGTATCCAGTTATAAATAAATATATTTCGAAAGTCTCTTGGATAAAATATCAAGCTGTCTATCAATACTTCAAACAATCAAGGTGAAGATGAGGAATAATTGTGCCAGCATGTACATTAACTTATATTTCTCATCAAGTATATAAGCATATGTATTTCGACATGATACATAAGATGTTAATAAAAAAGATTAACACTGTCAGTTTGTCTTTATATATATTTATATACAGTACATATATATATGTGTATGTGTTAGAAGTCTTAGTATATTACGTGATTGTATGCGAGTGTGCACGAGTGTGACAAGCAGTGGTACCACATTCCTAACACTAGCTCTTGGCCGCCTGCTAGGTGCACAGCAGCTAAGAGTCCTTCTCTCAGCTTTACTCTGTAAGGTATTTGATGTAGTGCAGGATAAAAACTTCGAACGAGCACATTCAAAAGTCTTTCAATATTCTTAAATTTAAACCTTACTGTTAATTCAAGACTCCTTTAGATATTTATACATGTTGACTTGTAGAAATATTTTTTAATTTAAATCTTGGAAAAAGCTCCTCTATAATTACTTATGTATACATCATTAGAAAAAATTTAAACATCCAATACTCATCAACATAAGCTACTGGACTATAAAAGTAACTGATGTACATAATAAATAATCTAATATTCATTGCAACTAAGTTGAATTATTCATTGAATTTATATTTATATGACAAAGCTGTTGAAAATTTGTCAATACTTTTGCCTTCTTTTTTGTTCTTTTTTTTTCTAATAATAAAATAAAAGAAACAAAATATCAGTGATATTGAATGTGTCAAATAATAAATTATCTGTAAAAAGATTAATATAAATTTATGAAAAAACTCTATCTCGGTGTTATGTATGAAGTAATATATATTATAATATATAAAGAAAGCTAAAGATATGCATCAAACCATTTCAACGTTTCGATGTCTCCCATTGTTTTTAGTATATTTATCTGGAGTTTTATAATGCTCTCATGTATTATTTAGATAAAAACATACCATCGTATACATGAGTTATAACATGAAATTAAAAATATTAAATAATCAAGAATAATATTTAACAAATAAAAGGTAATCATTTTTTTGGAGAACTTATTAATGTTATATCCTTTTGAAATGAAGTCATTTGAGACATTAAAATTTGATCTTAGAATAAGTCTAGCTATTATAAAGTTGAATGATTGCTAAAGGAAACTTAACTTTTTTGCTGATACATGTTTTAATATTAATTATAATTAATTATCCATCATTATATGTGGATTTTTATAATTTTATTTCAGTATATTGTTGTTACTTGTTGGTATGAATGTTATTAAAAATAAAAGTTTAGTGTTTGAAAGTGTGTAACTTTCTTTCAAGTATGAATATTTCTCCGACGGATCTCTGTTTAACAAATAAGAATAATCGTGCTCTAGTGAACTTTTAGATACGACCACACCCA